ACCCGAGCTATAAATATAACCCGAGCTATAAATATAACCCGAGCTATAAATATCACCCGAGCTATAAATATAACCCGAGCTATAAATATAACCCGAGCTATAAATAACTTCGTTCATATTTCAACAATTTCTGTTTTACAAAATTGAAATCTGAACAAAATTCTTAATAGCTCCGGTAAAGCAAAAAAGCAGGCCACATTTAGGAAAAACCATGAGTCAGGATTAGAAGAATTTTGTGGTTCTTGTTTCAAGAATATGTTAAAGTATATTGAAGACTAATGTCACAAATAAATTTCAAGATCAATGACGACATGCAAGTCGTCTTGCTACTGTCATGTTTCGTGGGACACCCTGTATGTAAAAAAGATAATTTGTAAATATTGACTTTTTAAAGAATTTTTTTATAATTATTAATATATTCTTTAGAGATTTGTTTATGTCGATCCTGAAGATGCAAATCAAATTGTTCAAACATCAAATGAACGTATTATTATAAAGGGGGGTCGATCTAATTGACAAACTTTTACGGAATGGGGGGGGGGGGGCTGGTTAAAAAGGGATATTTAAACATTTTAAAGAGCTGAACATAAACAAAATTCTTATTAAAAAATCTACTGAATTACCAGTTTACAATGTTGAAGAATTATTTTCCCGCATTTTACTTTCAAATTCATAATTTCATGGGACAAAATGTTACTTTAATGTTTCGACGTGATTCTTGGTTAATCCAAGTTCCGCCAAATCCAGAAAAAAACGTAAAATATTTTCAATCCCAAATATTGATAAATGTATTCCTGTGTTGTGGTTTGTGACAGCGCACACCAAGGCTGAAGGTGAATAGAAGGCGGGGACACGGCTGGAGAGATAGTTTCGCTTTCCCTCCCTCCTTCGGAGAGGGATCCGCCATCCCTTCCTCTAGAGATATATCCGCCTTCCCTCCCTCCTGGGTTAGAACTATTCTGATCCCTTGGTGTCAAGGAGAGGTTTGAAGGAAGAGAGACTCCTTGATGAATCTAATAAAAAAAAATCGAAATGATTCTCCGGTTTTTGTGAGTCAGAAATATGTTTAAAACTTCGAAGAATTTGAGTGATATGTCAGATTAGCTTCGGTACCCATTAAAACTCTAAATAACAAAAAGAAATATTAATCCTTTCTTTCTATTCTAATACGAGTTGAAGTCTGACAATGGGATTCAATTAGTTTTTAAAAATTTGAAAATAATAGAAGAAGAAAGAATATACATTTTTGAATAGAACCACCAATTCAAAAGGTAAAGAGTTTAGAAAGGATTTGAATCGGTGATTCAAATCTGAACCAGTGAAAGGCAGTTCAGCGAACCCGCAAATTAATTAAATTCGTACCTAGTCCGTTCAGATATCGTATTTTTTTGTGCTTACATTGCCAATTGACATATTACATTGCGTCCATTTATATAGTCATCGGCCAATCAAGATCAACAAAAATACAGCAATAAAATGGAATTACGTAGGAAGAACAAATGCTTATATTTAAAACAATAAAAAATCATGCGCTACATATAATATACTTTTTAGTTATATTCCAACAGGTTTTCCAATCGGTATTCAGTTGCGCGGCATTATACGGAAATTACGTTGCACCGCAAGTAAAATACATTCGCGTTAGAAACCCTAATTCCAACGTTTAATAAAAATTATAGGATTGTAGTTTTAATTTATCCATTTATTTGATAAAATATTCATGATAATGATACAATGAGAATTTCAGTTTTAATTTATCCATTTATTTGATAAAATATTATATTCATGATAATGATACAGTGAGGTGCAAATAATTCGGATTAAACAATAAAATCCATTCAGTGAGACTGGAAATGGTTGAGAAGATGAGTCAAAATATTTAAATTATATTTATCATATTTTGAGATACGATGAGAACCAGAAAACTGTGAAATAAGAGACGATATTTAAGCAATACTTAATTGTATTTGTTGTGGTTACAAAGCAAATAGTTTTACTATTGACTTGGACTATTTAGAGTCATAACTTGAGCCTAAAAGTCGTTTTGTTGTTCAGGAGTTTTCTGATTCTAACTGTACATTAGGATACAAAGTATAAATAAAAAATTTATAAATTTTTTTACTTTATAAACAAATGCATGGCAAATGCGTTTGAGTGAAAATTTAAGTAGACTTTTTTTTAAGCCATAACAATCCTGTTAAATTGAATTGAAATTTCAGGAATTGAATTGAAATTTCAGGAATTTAATCAAGTCTCAAAATTGATAAAATGGGTAACAATGCACTTTGTTTCATAACAATCCTATTAAGGCACTGAAACGGAAATATTTTTGTACAAGATATGTAAACATGTAATTTATGTTGCTTTAAGTATATTGGATTCAGAGTATTTAATTATCAAACAATTATTGGAAACTGTAAAATTATTGAACTAAAAAATATTTTTTGTGCAGATTATTGAAAGCATAGATTAATAACGACACAGATGTCGTCTTTTCAAGATTTAGGGGTTTTTCGTTCACAATTATCCCTGAGGCAAAATATCATAGGAGTTACGTGCATGCTCTCTGTCTTGTAATTCAACGCAGCATGCGCGTACCTCCTTTTGGCTTTTGCCTCAGGGTTGTTATGAACGAAAAATCCCTAAATCTTGAGAAGACGACATAAAGTGTTATGTCTGCATTTATATTAATCTATAATTGGAATCTGATAAACTATTGAACTAAGAATTTTTTTTGTGTTTGCAGATTATTGAAAATGTTTGAAAAAAAAAATCTAATTTTAAGAATTGAATTATCAACGTAAAACAAGTTTTTCATCCATTTGATTCATGCTTTTGAAGACAAGAACTGGAACTTTTAAATTTATGAAATTTAACTCGGTCACAAATGAGTTAACAGGTTAAAAATGCACTAGTCCTATCGGAGAAGAGAAAATGAAATTTTCTCAAATTTAAGACAAATAATTTACATCTACTTAATAGTCAATCTTAGAAAGTTTAATGAAACAGTAGTGTAGAGAAAACTATCGATTATTTACAGTGCATGGGTTTTCACCTCTTATGTTTACTTTTTACATTTCTTAAGTTAAATAATTTTAATATTTCAGATAAATTTGGTAAATTTGAGTAAAGGACAGTTTTGGAAGCTCTTAAAGTTCGGAAGGAGACAACTTTAATTTTCATTGGCAACGCTTTTAAAAATTATACAAAATAGTTTTCTAGGAGAAATCCACCCAGTTTTATTGATATATAAAAATTTTAAAAAATAATTTTTCCTGAAAAAAATATTCCACTGTACTTGTGCAAGTTTTGTCAAATTTGTAAAAAAAAACATTTTGCCGATGAAAAAAAAAATAAAGTTTACCCTAATATTATTAATCACAAGAAACCATCAACGGTCATAGAAAAAATATAGTATAAAATTTAACATCAAAATAAATGCAACAGTTATTATTGCTCTTATATAAAAAAAGCATAAATGCCTAAGTAAAAAGCTCCCCCCCCCTTTTTTAGCCGCAGAGTTTTTCAGATCATCTTTATTTGAGAAAATTTAACGGAATAGACAGTAGTAATTTGAAGTATCCCTCCATTAAAAAAGATGGGCATGTCCGATGCACAATGGTTCCTTTGAAACCTCAATCTCCTTGTTTTTCTGACTTGCAAATGTTTATTTCTTATAAATTCTCCATTGTTACTGAAGTAAGAAATACGCAGAGTAACACAAAATAAAACTAACTTAAAAACTATGAAATTAGATAACCTTAGAAGGATACCGTTGTAAATCGGACATGCCACTATATCAATAAAGAATCCCTACGAAATTACAACAGTCTGTTTAAGCAGCAAAACTGCTTTTATAAAAATATTGCAGGTTTTAACCCTAAAACAATAAAAAACCATGTAAGACAGCTTCTAAAAATTTCCAGCTTCTAAAAATGTTTTGTATAAAAGGTTTGAAAAGGCACTCGAGTTATTGGTTTGAAAGCCAAGTTTAACAATTATTACTATCACAATATTGTACAGTGCGGGGTTGTTTCGTTGATTATTATTATTATCGTTGTATTCATTAGACTCGTTCCTCCTCCATTCCTTCAGTGTGAATGAACAAAGAATTCTCTGAATCTGATCCTGAGTGGGCTATTTGAGGATCCCGGTCCATGTTATATCCTAACTGGAGATTCTCCATCTTTTCATTTTCATCATAGCTCTCAGGGTGGGATAGCTTCTTGTGTGTATTAAGATGAACCTTCTGCGTGAACCCCTTCAGACAGACCTGGCAGAGGTAGGGCTTCTCCCCGGAGTGAACCAACTTGTGCCTGTGCAGTTTACTGGGGGTGGGGAACCGTTTGTGACAAAATTCGCAGGGGTATTTCTTCTGAATCTCTTTTTGAAGCATCAATATCTAGAATATAAGGAAGTTTAGGACACGTCGGGACCTCAGAAGCCAGTTTGCCGTTTTATTGTCTCTTTTTTATGTTTAATCGACGCCAGGACCAAGTAAATAAAAATAATTCGATGAGAAAATTTATTTAATCGTCAGTTGGATTTATCATGTACAATGTACATAGTACACAGCATTTAATTTACAAGTGATCATTAATAATCAAAAAATATTATTTTTAATTAACAAAATTACAACATTATTCTACTGATACATAATTTCTGGAATGATAGTTCAGAGATGAGGGTAAGAAATAAAAAATTTGCCACTGGGTTCAAACACAACATATATGGAATATCAACACAACCTAAAATTATTAATGAAATTATAAAAATTATCATTTTCGAATAATCACAATAAAGAAACGTTAAGCTCATGTAAAAAAATATCAAATCTTAATTTGATCAAAGATAAAAGAAAATGGCTGACAAATTGAATGATTTGCATCATATGGAAATTTATAAAAAAAAACTTGCGAAAAAACTATATTGAGGATTTTTTTCAGAAAATATAATTTTTAACATCAATTTGTTTGACACAAGAACTATTTCCATTTATCAGGCCCAAATTCCCCCTGCTATATCTGGCATTGTCACATCTTTATGCAAGGTTTTCATGTGTCTTCTTAGGTTTGACACGACATTAAATGCTTTGTTGCAGACGTTGCAGGAAAATGGTTTCTCATCACTGCAGCACAGATCGGTGAAATAAATCAAGAATTTAAAGATAAAAAATAGAATCATCTCCCCCCCCATTCTTGGGTAACTTAGCTATAACCCTAAAATACATGGATATGGGGGGGGGGGGGGTAAAATATTGTTAAGCACCGTTCCTATGAATTATTGCATGTTGTCTCAGTTTGCTTCCAGAACTAAATACTTTATGGCATCCAGTACAAGGGTAGAGTAGTTTACCCTAAACAAAGAGATTTCATTACCCCGAAGTCCGAGGGTTATAAAGCTCCGTATGTATGAAGTAAGCGGGATTAAGTAAGCTGTTTGAATGTATAAAACCAAAAATTGTATGATTTGATTTTTTTAAGTTGGAGGAATTTTTTTTCAGGAGGGTTTAACATTTCTTTCCAGAGCTGTGTTAAAAATTTGTGATTGGTCGATGAACTTGAAATTGATCTTATTCTCTTCCGCAGAAAGGAATTGGGGTCTGGTCCCAAACTCTGATCTTCTAATCCCTATATCTTTGCAACCTTCTGTCATAGACCTTAGATAAGTCAAGCTATGAATTCTGTTTTTAAAAAAACAGTCTAAATTTGAAATATCAAAGATCTAAAACAGGTTGCAAAGATAAATGGATTAGAAAATTTAGGTCTGTGGCAAAGACTTAATTCATTGCGGCTCAAATTTGAGATTTTACTGAACTCTATTTGGTAAACAGTGGACCGGGTTGACCAAGTGAAATAGTAAAATTAAAAAATTGTTCTAAGTTTCCACCTTTATTTGCAGTTCTATTTATTATGTAAAAAAATCATTTCCCCCATACTCGGCACGAAAAATAAATTAATTAATTTTCCAAAATATATTAAATAAGGTTAATGTTTATTACTGTTTACCAAAAGTTTCGGCAATTCACAATTCGTTAAAATATATAAACCACCTCAACTTTATCTTTTGCTTACTTAAAAAAATAAACAATATTAAATTCTGCTTTGAAACAAACATTTACCAAGGGGAGTTGTTTGAGTTTATACGGAGCTTTATTCACCAATGTGCAAGGTGCAGTGAGAGCGAAAGAAAAAATTATTGAAATGGGACAAAAACGAAGAACACAAAACATAACTATTAAAAGTTAATGGGAAATTAGTGTTTACGTTGCGTACTACATAATAATAAGAATAATTTGTATTCATGAAACCAAAATTTTCTATTTTTAAAGACAAGTCCCCCCCCCCCCCAATTTTCCGAATAAGAATTATTTGTACTAAAATATTTAATTTATTAACAATATATATATGTAGTATGGGGCAGAGAGAGAAAATTTAAGAACATTGATCTCTCTCTATATCTTATTTTATAATTTGTTCTTTATTTATATTTTTGTTCTAAATTAATAACACAATTTATGTTTGTGTAAATATGTTAGCTGAAACAGATTTGAGTGACATTAATACTGTTATCAATAAATTTAACGATTTAAAGCGAGCTGGAAATTTTTAGATGCTACCTTCGACCCCCCCCCCCCCATGTTGCAACTTTAATACAACGAATTTAAAATAATAAAGAACTTAAAGATTAAACATCTAAAAATAAGAGACAATAAAAGGCAAACTATAAAAATCATGCAAAAAAATAAATATTCAACCAATTGGAACATGTATGTTTAAGTTAATAAGAAGAGTTCCAATTGATTTTTCATAATCTTAAATAATCAAATAATAATTAAATAATAATTAGATAATAAAAAATAATAAGGATAACAAAAGTGTGATCCCGAAACCCCCGAAAAATTGACAATACATTGACTTTTACTATTTTGATTTTTAAAAACCCCGACCAGAATAATTTTCAGATCTTACTTTAAAGATCTTGATAAACCTAATAACGGTTAAATAGCTCACTAGTTTACTTGCTGAATTTTTTTTCGACTTCGAATTGGATAACTTGAGACAAGATAGGGTATTGGTATATGTATTGACTAAAAACCCCCACCCTCACGTAATCATTTCTAAAAAGTAGTTAAAGAATGTCTTTTTACTGGTTAAATTATTTCAGTGAAAAATATAATGAGTGAAAGTATTAAAAAAAGGAAATCAATGCCAGTTAATGTTCAATTTGTCAAAACAAAATGTCCTGAACTCCCATTTGTTAAATCTTAAATAAATGATTATCTAACTGACTTGAAAAGACGTATAAACTGACCCACCTGACTGACCTGGTGTCCTGACAGTCCATCTGGTTGAATATACTGCTCATCTTCTAGCTGCAGCTCCTAAAGTAAAATCTTTTGAATTATCATCCCGCAAGCGGCTTAATCTTAACTTAATCGTCTGACACCGCGATTCTTAAATAATTTCTTTAAAGGGACTGTAAAGCGTAATTTTAAGTGGCCCTCCATGCAATGGCAACGCCAAATTCACAACAGTACCCTTAAAAACCTTTACAGATCATCCATTCGTATTATATTCTCGTATTTTTCTGTGTTAAACACTGATACTCCAATATGGATTTCTGCCGTAGAAATGCGCAAGTCACTTTTGTAGAGAATCCACCATTGAAAATTTTAAAATATTCATTTTCCCAAATTATAAACATTGAAATCTAGTTCATACTTGATCAGACACAGCTTTTGATGGAACCGTTGTGAATCAGGCGTTGCCATCTTTACATGGAGGTTTACTAGAAATTACATGTTCAGTCCCTTCAAAACTACACTCTAAAGCTAGATTTCCAATTCTTCAATTAGAAAACTAATGTCGTGACTAAAGATTCAACACGAGTTAAAGCTTTCGGCTCAATGTTAATATATACACCCCTGTTAAATTGTGAATTTACTGATTGATTGATTGAATACCTGTTCATAGTTTTCGTTAGGGATATTATCGTATGTGTCACTTGAGTCCTCTCCCCAGTTAACCACCTCCTGTTCACATATTTACATGTCATTAACAAAAATTTTGGGAAAAAGACGTTTTAGTTAGTTCGCTTTATTTAAAAATTTAAAGCAATTTTGAATCTAATCGATGTAAAGGATGATTACCAATAAATCCACTCGATGTTCAGAATAATCACCAATGAATCTACTCGATAAAAACGAATGAATCTACACGATGCAAAGGATGAAAACCAATAAATCTAATCGGTGTACAGGATGATAACCTATGAATCTACACGATGCAAAGGATGAAAACCAATAAATATAATTGGTGTAAAGGATGATAACCAATGAATCTACTCGATGTAAAAGATAATAACCAATAAATCTACTCTATGTAAAGGATGATAACAAATAAATCTACTCGATGTAAAGGATAATAACCAATAAATCTACTCGATGTTAAGTAGGAAAACCAATAAATCTAATCGGTGTAAAGGATGATAACCAATGAATCTACACGATGTAAAGGATGAAAACCAATAAATCTAATCGGTATAAAGGATGATAACCAATGAATCTACTAGATGTAAAGGATGATAACCAATAAATCTACTCGATGTAAAGGATAATAACCAATGAATCTACTCGATGTAAAGGATGATAAAAAAATAAATCTACTCGATGTAAAGGATAATAACCAATGAATCTACTCAATGTTAAGTAGGAAAACGACTTAATCTACTCGATGTAAAGGATGTAAACCAATACATCTACTCGATGTAAAGAATGATAACTAATGAATCTACTCGATGTAAAGGATAATAACCAATGAATATACTCAATGTAACGGGTGAAAATCAATGAATCTACTCGATGTAAAGTGTTCCTGAGAATTGTTTTCTTGTTTAACACTTAGAGGTCCAGGATCAACTGTTGTAGGTTCATAGCTCAGCTCAGGGGTCATCTCAATACTAGAGAATATGGAGTAAAAACGTTACAAATCTTTAACTGGGTCAGTCATAGTTAACGATTTCTGGACCCCTCCAACGCCCCCCCTCCGATCAATTTTGTACATGACCTTTAATTTTAAGTTATTTAGTATTATTTAGGGTTAGGTTAGGTTAAGACAATTTCTGGACCGAGCAAAATCGTTCTCTAGGAAATTACCCTATAACAAGTCACATAAAAGTGGATCGATATTAAACATATTCATTCTTATTTGACAAGTACAAGTAATCTAACAATTGAGTTAATTGTTCAGTACAATAAATTTGCAAGTCACTATAAAATATATATTTTGATCGGTAAAGTAATGTAAAGGGTGTGATGGCTATGTAAATGTAGGGTTGATAAAATATATCTACAGTCCAGAGTTAAATATGTTCACCTCTTTGGTTTTGATTGTTCTAGTTTAGCCAATTTAGCTTGAGTAGGAGCTGGAGTAGGTGTTCGTGTCCGTTTAGGAGCTGAACTCCCATTCTTCCTCTCTCCATTCCCAGCATCAGCCAAACCTTTGATCTGGAGCCCTCGAGCCGTCTCTATCAATGGTCCCAGATCATTCTGTAGTACGTTAATCTCCCCCCTGTACATATAACTGAGCAACTGCTCCAGGTGTTTAGGGTTTACATCTTTGAGATAAACTATTGGATGTTTGTCTCCCCTGTTTAGTAAACTTCTAAAGTAAGGGCTGCAAACACTAAGAATAAGCTTATGTGTCTCAAAGACCTGCCCTCCGCAGGCTAATGTGACGTCACATAACTGCTCTGTTCTGCATAGATCTTCAACAATACTGAAGAAACTTGAATGATGATCGTTCCATTTCAATAAAAACTCTTCCTGCGACATTTTTCACGGATTTGCGACTCTTTCAAACTTTAAACAACTTCGCGCATTTACACAAATCACAAAATAACTCTGGTTTAGCGGATGTTCAAGATGGATTGGAGAGAGATTTAGCCTATGCTGGTAGGGACTAGGGGGAGAGACTACTGACTGAACGGATGAGGTTGGCTCGGCCCGACCTCTGGCCAGGATTGGTTCTAGGATGAGGTTGGCTCGGTCCGACCTCTGGCCGGGGTTGGTTGAAGTAGGAGGTTGGCCCGGCTCGACCTCACCTTGGTATCGAGGGTGAAAGCGTCACTAAGGTATCGCAAAACTAAACAACAAAACGGAAAATAGTTTTGTTAATTAAAAGTTTCAAATATCTTTTTATTTTTTGCTCCATATTGACTTAATAAGAAAAAAATTTATTTCTATTTTAATAAAAATATTTTATTTTTTGAAAACGGAACGTACTTCAGTTTAAGAGGATACACGTCCTCGTCGAATAAAACAGGGGGTTTCAAATATATATTTCACTTAATTTATGTATGTTTTCATGAAATTTATTTTGTAAAATATTTTTGAATGTATTTGAATTTTCAGTTTTACAGACTGTCTCTTGTTTTTAAAACAAACCGGCGATATCACAATAAATGGTAATGTTACATTGTCTTAACGCAATATGCCCGGCCTACTGAACTTTCCTACCTACTGTAATATCGGACCTACGCCACCAGGGGCGTACGCGGGCTTTTGCTTAGGGGGGGGGGCACTATTTGCGCGCGTAAGCGCGCAAATAAATTTTTGGGTCCCCCCCTTGGCAACATTGTGCCCCCCCTCAACCCCTTTTTTGAAAAAATATTGATACCTTTTTTTTAAATGTTTTTGCCCCCCCCCC